GTACTGGGAATCGAGCTCAGGGCCTTGGCAAGGCAGTCATGGTGCCTCTTTCCCTTTTTTTTTTTTTTTTTGGTCCTGGGGATCGAACTCTGGTTCTTGCATTTGCGAGGCAGGAGGCAGAACCACTGAGCTAAATCCCCAGCCCCTCTTACCCATTTTTTTAAAGTAAATATTTATGTTTTATTTTTTGCCATGCTGGGGTTCAAACCCGGGCCTTGCTCATCCATGGCTGAGCTACACTAGCCTCTATGAGGCCCCTTGTTGCCCTGGACGGTCACCTAGAATCGAGTTCCTTTTTATCCCATCTTCCCAAACTTAGGGTGCTAAAAAGCACAAGCTGAATTTCCCAGGCGAGTGTCACATCTTCCGTCCCCTTCTTTCCATGTCGCTCCAGTGGCCCCCAACCCCAGGCTGTAGGAGGGTGGACACCGGCCATGTGGGAGGTGGGAGAGGACAACTCGGATAGAGAACCACGCTGTGGGACGGGCTGGGCAGATCGGGGCCAGAGACGAGGCTCCACGACAGGCGGTGCCCAGTGCTGGAACAGCCTCCCTTCAGTGCGTCTACAGCCTGTCGGCCCTCGGTGGACCTGGGGATCCCGAGTCCCGGGACTGAAGCGGAGCCACAGAGCCACGGAGCCATGGGTGTGGGCAGCCTGGGTGTGTGCATGTAAGCTCTGGGAACCGTTACCAGTGGAGTGCATCAGGTGGTGGGAGATCTGGAAAGTTCCTCGCTGTGCTGGAAGTACACATGGTGCACAAGTGCTGGTGCCGCCCCTGCCGCCCACCCACCCTCTTGTCCCGATGCTGTCCCTCCCCAGTGGGGGCTGTGGCTGGGGCACCTTTGCTCTCCACCTATGAGGCCTGGCACCGGCCCTTCCTGGACACAAACCTAGCCGCTTGGGCCTGGAGCCCCAGGCCTCCCTTACCGCCTGCCAAGTCCTCATTGGCCCTGAGCAGGCAGAGCCGCCAGGCTGGAGTCTCACTGCCGTGCTCCAAGCTGAAGGAGCAGAGTCATACTGGCCTGTGCCAGCAGGGCCAAGTCCCCCACCAGCCGCCCCTCCAGAGGGTATGGTGGGCACAGCCCAGTGCTGCTTCCCCTCTGACCCCAGGCCCACAGCTGACAGAGCAGGTGTCAGGTCCCCCAGGTAACCCTCGCGTGGCCTGCAGCAGGCATGCATGGGGTCGCAGCCTGCACTCCCCACCATCTACCAGTGTGCTTGGCCCCAGGTCCCAGCGCGGAGCCACGTCCTCCACTTCCTGCAGTGTAGACAGCTGTGGTGGAGAGCAGAGAAGCAGAGCCGAGGGGACCCATGGCAGAGGGAAGTCCAGCGGCCCCCATCTCCTCCCCATTCGGTGCCACCCGGCCTGGGCCTGCGGCTGTCAGGAGCTGGGGTGTCAGGGATCATTACATGGCACAGAATTTGGCCAGGAGCCAGCGTGAGGACAGAGCCTGGAGACTTGTCCCCACACAGGCCCAAGCTCCACCGCTGGCCAGTGACAGCTGTGGACTCAACTGGATCATCTGATGGAACCCTGCTTTAACACGAGATTGTTTACGGTCCTGTGAACAGGAGGTGGGATGAGATGATGGTCACTGAGCACTTCCTGCGGACATCTTCACTTGTGGTTTTCTTGTGTTTTGCCCAAGGAGACAGAAACACCACAATCAACTGTGCTAGCACTTTTTCAGTAAGGTCATTCTGGAAGTGAACAACTTATACATTCTGATTGTTTCGTTTGAAATACAGAGTAGTCTTTGCCATGTGTGGTGCAGGCCAATAATCCCAGCTATTCAGGAAGCTGAGGCAGGAGGATCGCTTGAACTTGTGAGTTTGAGACCAACCTGGGCAACACAGCCAGACCTCGTCTCAAAACCAGAAAACTCAGCAGATCTTAGGGTTCTGTGCCATCGTGTGAGTGCCCAAGGGGCCACGAAGGCAGGAGCAGCTTTCCAGTGGGGCCAACTCAGGCCTGGGGCGGGCAGCTTAAGAACCAGGAGGGACTGAAGAGGAAGCAAACCAAGGCCTGTGCTGCTGCGACATCATCCTGCCCGGGCGCAGGTAAAAGGCTGGCCTTCCTTCAGCCCCGCTTTGATGCCATCCCTGAGACTCAGGGCCCCACAGTGGTGAGCAGAGCTTTGAAGGAAAACAGCAGCTGGAGCACACACACTGCATGTTCGCCACCACTGGTGTAATCTCACACGCAAGGCCTGGATCCGCAGGACCCAGATGTAGGTGACCCTTTTTTTTTCGGACAGGATTGAACCCAGGACCTTCCTCAGCTACATCCCCAGCCCTTTTAAACATTTTTTGGGACAGCATCTCACCAAGTCCCTAAGTTGCCCAGGTTGGCCTTGAACTTGTGATCCTGCCCCAGAATCACAGCGTCACGCACAGTGCCTCTCGTACTCATCTTGGAAACAGTGCAGCATGGCCGTGACTTGTCAGGAGACAGCACCATGCTGAACACGGTACCCACATGGCAGGCTGGGGCCAGAGGACAAAAGCGCCCACGTGAGCCATGACCGCAGCAGTGACGATCCACACGGACCAGTACAGTGAGTGGGACACTCAACACTGAGCCGAGCTAACAAAAGATAGAGCAACTCGTGCATCCAAGGCACTTTTAATATCAGTGTTTTCATTAATTAGAAATACCACTATTGTGTGATGAAAAGTTACTAATGAAGTAACTACCTCCAATGGCAGAACGACATCGTTCACACAGACTACAGAGGGGACTGCGCCAGAAGCAAGAACTGTACTCAGATCAGTTCTAACATGCTAGGGCTCTCCGCTCCCACCTGTGCAGCTCAGGCGGCCTCAACACCCATATTCAAAGAAATCTTCCATCAGCATTACACTATTTTAAGTGCGAATAACTTTTAAAAATCTATGACTGCAGCATGTGTCGTCCTGAATTACAGATTTGTCAGAAAGTAACAGCTTTCTTTGCCAGTGCATCCCGGGTGGCTCCAGACCACCCAAGGCATAACAGCATCAGTTCAGAGCCGAAGACAACCTGTCGTGGAAGCACTGCATTGTATTATATATGAGAGCTCGGTACAGTGAGTTCAGGAGTAAAATGCAACAAAACTCCATTTCTTGATTTTCAGTGCAGCTGAGTTAGAAACAGAAACAGCTTTCTGGGCTGGCGGCTTGGAGCTCTAAGTCCCGCACATCTGTACCGCACGGCCTGGCGCCACTGGCTCCACCACTCCTGGCTCCACTGGCTGTGTCCCTGTCACTCCTGCAGCCCGC